AAGAAGAAAGAGAAGGGTGAGTGTGTGTGTGTGGGGGGGGGGGGGGGGTTAATCCTCCCCGTTTTGGATAGGAATGTGCCGCCAGAGGCTAAAAAACCGTGACCCTATTTAATGACACTTCAGAATGAAAAATCCATACCCTATTCAAGACATTATTCAAGACCCTATTCAAGACACACAAGAAATTGTATACCCTTTATGAGGAACGCATCTCACTCAGTGTTATATAGGAGTTTGATAGCAAAGCCGTCAAGGATCTGATAAACTTTGTCAGGACCGAATAATGTTTTTTTTTATGAAGTGGTACTCTGTCTAAGACACCCAAAAACATGAAACTTACGATATTGTGTCAAAATTATAATCCTGTTTAAGACAATTTCCGGTAAAATGTATACCCTCTGTAAGAGAGCAAGGCCGAAAACCATACCCTATCCAGCTGCACATACCCCTAYAGAAAACATATGCCAATGACCATGAAACAAAAGCCACAGGTTCGTAAGTAGCGATTGATGAACGACGACCAGCCCCCATTCCCACTTATTCCCAAATAGAACAGTTGCTTTTACTATACAGTGTTTCGTACTTACTGTTCTTTGCCTTTCTCTTACAAATACATTGCCATRTGAGTCCGACAACCACGGCAAAGCAAAGTAAGGATCCCACAATCAAAATGGTGTTATTATAAGGAATAGAATTCGAGTCAAATAAACCCGAAGTCTTCCTGACAGCTGAGCTTTCTGTTGGCGTCTGAAATCGAAGATCAAACAATGCGTATTTCAGTGCACAAAGGTAGTCAATAGAAAAAAACATTACGTATAGTTTAATAAATGAACAGGAGTGTTTTAGACCTGATAAAACCTGATCTGCAAGTTTATTGAACTGCTTCAAAAAAGCATGAATAATTAATGAGCATCTAGGGTCCTTATTCGTGACATGCTCTGGCACTCTTTTGGTCCATTAATAAAGATTTCAAAATCTTTATAAAATAAAAGATATTCACGTTGAGCTATTATGAAGTATAAAGATCCATGCACGTAATGTATTTGAAGGACCTTATAGGTCTAAATGCTCATTAATTATTAATGATTTTTTGAACCTTTATTAAAACGTATTTTTAAAATTGAAAATTACCCATGATGCACCCAATATATCGATATTTATTTTATTTATATATGTATGCATATGTATATATATACTTGTATTTATCTTGTCTCGTGGCGATATAAAAAAGAAATAATCAAGTAATACTTATATGGTGCAAACTCACATGTGAATAACTAGCTAAAAACTAGTGTGAGCTGCGTCGGT